CAGGTGGTTGTCCTAAAATTAGTCGACTCACATAGCGGGTTAGATATTCAGGTTAATAAAAAAAATTACTACTTTGAACACATTCACTTTCACTTCAAAGCAACTCATGGCCAAATAAATCAAGAAATCTTGAGTTTTTGATGTATAAAGAAGAAAACAATCAATGAGATTGCAATATCAAGAAGAATCAAATTACAAGGTTTAAAAAAAAGAAAAAAATGATGGCAATATTTATTTTTTTCGGCCCGAGAGATCCTACTTGAACGGTGAACCTTTTGATGTCCGCTTGTTGATGCATCTTTGATCAATACACAAGCGTAAGATTCAAGCACGGAATCCACTGTTATTTCTTGTGTGTTTCTTCATAAGTCGAACTGAAGCATACATTTATGGACAAACGATTTCATCTCGAGGCGGAGGAGGAGGAGGATCGAACGGAAACGGAAACGGAAACGGATGAGTAAAAGGAGGAGCAAACGGAGGCATAAACGGAGGTAGAGCAAAGTGCGTTGGTTTATGATCAAGCATATTATGGCATGGTGATGGACCCGAAGGCGGCACTATACCTCTTGGTAGCATACTCGATAGCTCCTTATTGTCGTAAACTCCTTGATCATCCTTACGTACTCTCCTCCCACCAACTCCCGTCAAGTTTGAAGCCACTAACAGCACCAAGATCACGAAAACAACCCGAGACACCCGCCTCAAAACCATTTTCGTCATAGTTTACCCCCTCCTTTTTTTCCCGATCCAACTAAAATCTTGCACTCAGCTATTATGGCTGCTAAAATAGAAAATGACATATGAATCTGATATGAGTGTATTGACAGGAGGTGGTTAGATTTGAACAGTCATACAAAGCTATTCAATTACATATCAGATATAAATCTGATTACATAATGTATAAGTTATTATATCAGTATTATATTTTAAAAAAGGATTAATTGTTTATGTGCCATATTTTAAAATCATGGTCAAGTTTGAATTTTAGTTGTACAAAGATCCAAATATATAGGTTTTGATTTGTGCATAGTGGGGACAATTTTTTAATTCTTGATATGATTCTTGTGCTTATTTATTCACCTCGTGATTCATATATTTAATGTGTTACATTTCACATTTTTATTTTAAAATTAAATAATTATATTTTAATCAGTATTTTAAACATAATATATGATGTTAATTTTGATCAGTTTTTGGCTCACGTTACGATTATTTTGCCAACTGTTATGATTTTTTACGTCATCAGTCTCTTTTTTATTTTTTCTCATCAAATGTTGCTTCTCTCCTCGTCGACTTTCTATGACTTCTTCTCCATCTCCATTTGCTTCTCCGACTGTGTTTGTTTCTTCGTTGATGTCTATTTGCTTCTTCGTATGCGATTTTTTGATTCTCTGTCTTTTTCTTCGTCAGTGTTAAGTCGTTAAACGTTTCCTCATTCAGTAGACATTTATATAATGGGTTTTTCACGAAAATATACCTAATGTATTAACAAAATAGCTATTTTTTTTTCAAGTTTTTCACAAATCTGGATCGATAAGATTGTTTGTTTTTACATGTAAAGTCTGAAGTCTCAATCGGTCAAACTAGTGCAAAAATATAAAAGATAAACAATTTTTTTACAAAAGTGTAAAAGATAAATAGTTTTTGCTAACAAAATCTCTTCCAGCCCCCAAAATATGAACCATTTGATAAAGAGTGAATTAAGATTAAGAGGTATTAAGGGATCGTTTACCAATTAAAATTTCAGAGAACATTTAAAATTTTTAAGCTCTTATTTTAAAAATAAAATAAACGTTCTTAATACCCAAATGTCTAAACGAATCAAATTTCAAATATATTAAGAAGTAATTTTGAAAAAACAAACGCATACCATCTTTATTTAAAAAAATGTCGATGATAGGAGATGCTCCTCTAACAATAAAAAAAAATAAGAATGGTAAATGACAAAAACAGTCCCTAAACAAAACTAAAAAGAACTTTGCACATTAATTTATACCCTTAAACTAATGATCATATCCAATTATTACCCTTGGTCAAAACTAGATCACGAAGAGAGAGAAAATAAGTCACGTTCTTTGTAAATTTGTATATTTTTTTGTTATATTTAATGATTTATTTTATCAAATTTATCGTCAACACACTTTTATCGATATGCTTTTATGATTAACCACAAAGGTGGTGTTTGATTGGTTTGAACTTGAGTTCTAAAGATCAAAAATATCTAAAGGTCTCTGGTTCAAATCCAAGGAGAAATAAAAATCTCTTTGTGGCCATGGAGATTCAAATGCGATGACTTCGGGCTACCCGCAAAACAGGTAGTCACCCTGAAATTAGTCGGCTCGTATAACGGGTTGAATATCCAGGTTAATAAATAAAAATTATGTTTAGAAAACTGAAAATAAACTACTTTTGTCGTGTAATGTTTAATCAGTGCATTATTTTATATAAACGATTTTCAAATCTGTAGTATGGTCAAATATTATGTATTTTATTAATTAAAACAAACATCGTTATGTTTTTTTGTTAAGATTTTGTGTCATCGAAAATAGTTGTTCGTGCTTAACTCTTAAAGAATTTGAATCTTGTCTCGTTCCTCTCGAAAGACATGTATTCGTGTTGCAACAAGTTTGAAATTGGCATAAACAAATAAATCTTGTATGAGATACTTCATAAAAATATGTTTTCAGTTTAATATTGTTTGCTGCCAGACAGTGGCGGATCCAGGATTTTGGTCTAGTGGGGGCACCTTTAAGGTAGCTTAAACGCCCACCAAGTCGTCCGATGTGTTTTAAGACTAATTCCACCATTCCAAGAGATTTTTGAAGTTTTTTTGGATTATTTCGAGGGATTTTTTAATGTTTTCTTATCGATTTCGAGGAACTTTTCAGTTTTTTGGTTGATTTCAAGATACTTTCTTTAGTTGGTGGGGGCCATAACAAGAAATTACGGAGGATAACCATAGTAGAAAGTAAAAAAAACAATTTTTAACCTTAAAAAAATTCATTTTTTTATTTTTTAATGGGGGCCCTTCCCCCCACCTTTTACATGGTGGATCCCCCCTGCTGCCAGATGTAAAAATAAACAAAATGCTCAAGGTCAGTAGACAATTGATGTACATTGAGAATTCAATGTATATAAATCATACATTTTATAGTTTTTAGCTAATTTATTTTGCTTTTATCTCAATCTTGAGTTATTTTATTACTTCATTTTTCTCTTATTAATTATGGAGTTAAATGTGTGATTTACTTGTCTTTTACACCAATAAAATACAGACTGTTTGGTGCTATAGCATTCCTAGAACATAGATTTGATAGTTTTCAGCTTTTTGAAGAACTTATTGAGTTAAGATGTTGAGCACCTTTTTGTTTCTAAAAGTCCACGAAGTAAAGACCTTTTTGGGAGATTCTTGGTTGTTACACACTTTTTAGGGTTATATAATAATCTAGTTACTTTAATAGTAACTTTTGTTGATTTTCAATTACATTGGTCTCAAGTTTGACTTTTTGTCCCCTGTTTTTGTATAAATAAGGAGGTTGGGTCTTAGTTTTTAATCATCCAAAATTAGTTCTAAACTGACTTCTCTCTAATATAGTACAATGGTAAAAGTCTGAAAGAAATACCCTCAAAATAGATAGTAGAACTTGTTATGACTGACTGCTTGCTGTAGCATCCTTACAGCATTGTCTGCCAGAATTTGTGTTTATGTACCACTACAAGTCTTACACTCATATTACCTTCATTTATTCTATTATTTGCAATTGTTAACTCAACAACCAATCAAAATCTTCAAATTTATCATCTGAAATTATTATTTCATGTTCACATACACACCCTTGAGGAACCGACAAATAACTAGAGGTATGCAAAAAGTCATCCGATCCAATTTAAACTGACCGATCATAATCGTATATCTAATTGTAATTGGATCTGATCATATCCAAAATATCATCCAAATTGGATCGGTCGATTCTTGGACAACAGTTCAAAATCCAATAAAACCGAACCAATCCAATCCAGTTATCATTTAACTACCATCCAATTACTCATCTGAATTATTATCCAACTATCATCCGATTAACAACTATATATAATCATTAACATTTTAAGATATTGTTTTTAAGTTGATATTTATACATAGTGGCTTTCAATAAAATCAATAAAAGATATGAACAATTGGTTGAAAATTATATCAAAATATTGAATGGATCCAGTGGTTATCCAATGGGTGGAACCGATCTGACCAATCATCCATTGGATTGAATTGAATTGGATGTCCAATGTTAATTGGATTAGATCGGATAAGATGACAAAATCCAACATCTATTGGATGATTGGATTGGATCGAATTCATCTAAATCCATCGGATTTCAACCGATGACAACCCCTCCCCCTCCCC